GAAACCATCCAACTTGGTGTGAGGTCGGAGTGTTTCAAGAAATGATTATTAATGCAAAAGCAGAGTCCAGGTTCAGAGGTCAGAACAAGCTTCATTTAATCTTAAATGCAAACTACTTTCCTGTCTAGTCATGGCTATGCCCAAGCAGGAAGGAGAAGTTTGAGCCCAAGCCATGCTGTAGCTTGTCTAGAACACTGTATTGGTAAATAACTCAGGTATGTAAGTCTCTAGAACTATCTATCTTTTTATCTAAATGCTTATACAGTCTTCTTCAGCAAATATATCAAGTGTATGCTGTTTCAGGTTGTGCAAAGGTAATATTTGTGAACTTGATCTCTACTTCTGAAGGAAGTGTACTTGAACCTCTGGGGTATATCTTGTGCCTTTCATTAAATTTTTGCTTAAAATATAAAAACTGTGGATTTAATATTTTAATGAGTTTACATTTTCTGTTTATTTCCAGGGCTGAGCCCTTCTCTGAACTTAATTTTGCTTTTTAAATTTTGGTATACTTCTAGGCCTTTTTTTCCATCTAAACAGGCACTGAATCATTACAGATTGTCTCGGAGAAGAACTAGCTAGCAAAACTATCTGTCCAGGAGGTCGTCTGTATATTCATTATTTCTACACACTTTGGTGACTAATTGCTTTTGGGGACGGAGGGCATGGACTCCCAGGCAGGGCCGCTTGTCCCAAAGAGGAATATCAACTTCCTGCACTAAGTAGAGGCTAAGAAGGACGTAACATTCTTGCATTAAGTACCAATCTCATAAGAAAAATAACTTAGTTGCAAAAACCTTCATGAATACAGATTTTTTCACTGATATTTTCCATTTCACAAGATACAATAGCATAGCCAGTCAAACCGGGAACAGTGTTCCTTTTAACAAAAAGGCTAAATCTGTCTTGTCTAAAAACTGACAACCTGTATTTAGGTTCCTGGGCACTAATTAAAGAACGTGCTCCTCAGCCACCCATACAGAGTCCTCTATTGAAAACCATAATTTCTCTTGTTAAGGAGAAGGGGGAGAGGTTGCAGTTTATCCTGGTATCCTAGGCAATTAGCTCTCAATCAATGTCTTCTTCTTCATCCAAATTACAAAAAGGCTTCTCCCCACAGACAGTTACTTAAAAACAAGTAGCAGCCCAGTGCTGCAGTTGCCAGTTGCCAAGAAAGCCTTCCTTTGCAAGTCTGCTCGCTTTCGCCATTCATTCTGCAGCTAGCTGGAAAGGCAGACACAGTTCACTTCTCGGGACAGTCGGCAGATGACAAGCGTTGTTTTTCCATGGAGGATTAATCTGTTGTGTGTGAATTTTCATAATTTCAATAAGATTTGTTAAATTTCTGTAATTTACATTGAATATTACATGTAAGAATTAACATTGCATTCTGAATTTGAGGCACTAAAATTGTGCATGCAAATTTATACCTTGCTTTGGAAAAAATATAATCTAGGGGATATGTTGCATTTGTTTATGAAGCTACCAGAAGGATCAAAAGTATCCGTTTATATTTTATCCTGCGTGTTTGCCTAGTGGGACTTCAAACCGTTCACAGAAATATTGCAATTAATCTAACTAATAAAGCATTAATTATCAGTGGAGAAGCATGCTGAAACTGCTCAGACAAATATGTGGCACCAATCAGTCCCCCCCTCAAATGGTACTAGAGGTACTCAAAGTACTGCCTGTTCGATTAACTCATCACAGGATCGGTGGTGGTACAGATAGAAGGCGGCACTTGTTAAGGGAACTGGCCTAGTCTTATAATATTTAAAGCTTTAAAGATTAAAACCGGTGCCAAACTTAATTTAGCCTGGATGTTGAACTGGCAGCTAGTAGAGCTCTCATAAAACTGATAGGATGATATACCTGTGGTTAGTTTCAGACAAGAGCCCAGTAAATGCGAGATGAAATATCCCCAGTGGTATAAAGGAGACTATTTCATAATGTGTTGAATCTGTAAACAAAGTTCTGTTGGAATAAAAGTGGCAGAATTAATTCTTAATTCCGTTCGCCATGCACCTCCCCTCACATCATGTGTTACTGAACAACAGTTTCCTGCAACTTGAGATCACTTAGTTATTTTGCAGTAATGCTGTGCAGAGAAAGAGAAAATCTAGACAAGCAGCTCTTTATTCCCCATGCAGCGTTCTGTACTTCACTGGGGGAAAAACCAGCCATTTCTTTTTCATCCCCTTAACTAACATTCTTCTTCATGATTTTGTAAACCCCTGCCTTGCCTGTCGCGCTCCTCCTGGCTGTTCACCCATTGGTCCTCACACACCTTCTGGCCCCCGTTTCCTGTTGGAGCTCTACCCATTACTTTGTTCCTCTCTGTTGTATGTGCATTAACTCATCCTCCCTTTTCTGACCTTTCCTCCTCTTTCTTTATTGTCTGTTTTAGACTGGTGGCTCAGTGGAGAGGCGTATATTTTCACTTCTGAAATCTGCAAAGTGAATGTGCATATTGCTAGTCGTAGTGATAGTACTATTGGGGGGGGTCACTGTTTGTTATTTTTAAAGATTCATTTTATAGTGGATATATTAACGTGCAACGAAAGCCGGAATCTTGACTAAGCCCAGCTTACTATTTTTTGCAGGCTCTCTGCTCCCGCTGCTCCCTTTCGCTAGAAGGAGCGTATAGAGTGTCATTTGAAGCAGGACTCCTGGCTTCCTGCTCCCAAACAAGCCAGGAACTGCAGCCTAAGAACAACTCCTATATATCTAGCCTGTAAAAGCCAAAGAAAAGTAGGAACACCCATTCAGATGGCAAATGAAAGTTTCAATGGCCGATTAGTTCAACTGCTTTCTCTGGTGGGAAGTTAAGTGGGAGCAGAGAGGCTGCAGGAATAAGCACTCAGCTCGTGAACAGTAAGTCAGAATCCTCTGGAATACGGGGTTATCATAGTAAAAGAATATGGCTGGTGTGTTAAAGGTTTTGTCCAACCGGGTTGTTCTTAGAAAGATCGCATCAGTATATATTCAGCGGTGCGGTGGTAAACGCCTGCCTGTTGTTCACAGGTGCATTTTTGCAACTTGTCGAGAAATTGCATGTGGAACAGATGGTTGTTGCAGACTTCATTAGAAGCCAGGTAGTGCTCACTAGTGGTCTGGAAGCACAGGCCGGCCAGTTGTGTGGAAACACTGTCATACTTGGTGAGGATAGCTGGCACCAGTTTGCAAAGTGCAGCTTCTGTGAGAAGAGAGAGGGCACTCATGTATACAGCAGACATAAGTATTTCAAGAAACACAATTCATTGAAAGCCAAAAAGTGCTGACAAAACAGTGCTGCTTTGACGTTCGTGGTGGGCGACAGACTCGAAATAAGCTGCTCACATTAAAAATCAGTATATCATCCTACGTCAGCACTCTCAGCGATGCGATCAGAGCGCCACCCCCAACAAGTGTTACTACATAACGCAGGCCAGGTTGATTCTGTTTTGATTCTTCCACAGCCGAGGAATGGAATCCAGAATTAGTCTTTGCAGGCAGTGGACTCGATTCTAGGCTTGTATTATCAGAGATGTTGGAGGAAGCATCTTTTATTTTGGTTCCTGGGAAAGTTGTTGCGATTTTTGTGTCCTGCCCTGAAGTATTTCATTAGAACGTTTCTTATCTGGCTTCAATTTCTAATGTTTAAGGGGATAATCAAATAAGCAAAGTCTAAAATGAAGCGTAAAAGTGAAAGAGTAGGGCCCAAAATGCTGGAAAAACCCCGACATATTTTAACTTGAACCACTGACTGCTAGTAACTAAACCTCAGGAAGAAAACATGTTAACCTTCTTGAAGGGGAAAAATACGGCCGGGAATTTGGAATGCGTCAAACAGTGGTAGCGGGGGGGGGGGGGGGGGGCCATGCAGGGCAGGCACACTTCTGTGTACACAGTGTTTGTCAGGTCAGGTATTTTGACAGTATGAACCATATTCATGTTATGAATATTAGAATACAGATGCATTTATTAGTTTTTGCAATATTTAAGGGGATCAAGAGGGGATCCTTGGCTTTCCGGGCAAAAAGGGAGGTGGAATTGTGCATCATCCATCTTTGATAGAATCCTAGGTCCCTGAGTGTGTTCTCCCAGGAGTTTCATGGAGGTTTTGAAAACCATAGGAAATGTGTGCAGCCCAGTGCAAGCCCCCAAGCGCCAGCAACCGACCCTAAAGGGAGGACTGGAGCCATGCACCGTTGCGCCTCCACGTCGTGCCTCAGTGGTACCCGAAAGAGACTGTGGCTGATGGGATCAAAAGCTACTGAGAGGCCCAGGAGAACCAGTAAGGTGGCACTCCCTGCCCCGTCCTTTCTTCTGCTTGAGTGGCCAGCCAGGCTTGCTAAATGCGTTTTCTGTCCTGAGCTGGAAGTCCGACTGGGATGGATCTGCCTAAATCGTCTGCATCACCCAGACTGCCGGCCGCTGGCACGATCTCCTCTCTTCTAAGAGGTGGAAAATAAATGGCCAGTTTTTGGTCGACGACTTATCTTTGCAGCTATAACAACAGCTGTGTAATTTGTTTCATCTTTGAACTCCGCTTTTCTTATATTGGAAAGTATGCTTTACATCAGTGAGTTTGAAAGCACAGAGTCGGGATTTTTAAACAAATTGCAAGAATGGACTTGCACTAAATTGGATCGAGCAGCCTCTATTTTAAAAAGAGACACTTAATATAATGGATTTTTAAAACCCATTAATTGTCTAACTTATCTTGGGATCATCTATTTAAAGAGCGTCAGTATTGAACTGGATTAGTGTAAACCCTTTGGATGGCCTAAAATAGCTGGATTGTTACGGTTTGCTGTGTTCATCCAAGTGGCCTGTGCAGAATGCTGTGTGCGCTCCTGGTGCACGGGGTGCGTCTCAGATATTTGCTGTGAGGGGAGGTTCTTCAGCAGTTGCCATTTAAGAGCGTACGGGACACTCTAAAATGTTCTTAGGATCTTTGGGGAGCCCCCAGTACATCTCACTTTCTCCCCCCCCCCCCCATCGCTCCCGTTTTGCAGGATCCAGCGTGCGAACCTTCACTCCGTTTTATTTCACTGTGGAGCCAGTGGACACTTTGTCAGTCAGAGCGTCTTCGGTTATCCTGAACTGTTCGGCTTATTGTGAGTCATCTCCCAAAATTGAATGGAAAAAGGATGGGACTTACTTGAACTTGGTGTCAGATGACCGGCGGCAGCTGCTACCAGATGGATCTCTGTTAATTAACAGTGTGGTGCATTCCAAGCACAACAAGCCGGATGAAGGGTATTACCAGTGCGTGGCAACAGTTGAAAGCCTTGGGACCATAGTGAGCCGAACCGCCAAGCTCACGGTAGCAGGTGAGTGTATTAAACTGTTTGAATTTCTAGCATTTAATTGCAGAATCCAGCTGATAAGCATACAAAAGAAATACTAGATATGTTACGTTACAGGCAAATTTTCAATTCGAGTGGTATCTAGGAAATTCTCTCTCTCTCTCTCTCTCACACACACACACACACACACTCTCCCCCCTCCCTCCCTCCCTCTGGTAAAGTACTAAATATTTGTTCTTCCCTTCAAGGCAGGAGGACAGCCAGCTTGGCAGAGTAAGAAGGCAGTTTCCAAAACAACATCTGGTGGAGGAGGGAACATCATATCTGTTCCCGAGAAATTTACTGCCTTCCTAATGGATAGGCAAGCTCCGTTAGGATTCTCTGACCCCTGCGTAGCTCAGTGGGGAAAAAAAAAAAGAGTGGGAGGAGATTAATCCCTTCCAGGAAGACCTAATTCAGCAGTGGTCGTGGGCTTCCTTGGATGTCGGGGGGATGCATTTCCCCCTGCACGGCTTGATGTGATGGCTGGGACAGCTTACCGGCCCAGAGTGAGATTCTTCAATGGCAAATTAGCAGGCAGGGTTGGTTGGATAACATTTTTATGGAGGAAAATGCTTTTGGGCATCTATGTTAACAGAACTACAGATGTCATATTTGGAGGCCTCCGGAACAATCGTTGAGATGACTTTTGCTAGTGCAGCTTCCAGTCTTCATGGTCATGGTTGAGACCCTTTCCCTCCAGTCAAGAGGAAAGTATATATCGGAGAGCTGCCTTTTGAAGATGAAGATAATGCCACTGGGGAATTGCTACTCTGCAAGCAAGAAAAATGTCCTTTAACTCCCAGCATGCCTTCTGTTTAATATTCCACACATGAGATTGTGTCCTGAACCAGTATAGGAGATCCTTGGCAATGAGATAAAGGGGTAATGCTACATACCAAGTCCGGAGATGGTTGCAAAATTAGGCCAAAAAAACTGAAATCGTTTTGCATGTCTAATACTAGACATCCCTTTTGATGATGGAACAGGAGTTTGAAAAAGGCGATTTTCTCTCGTGGGCTGTGTGAGTGGCGTTTTACCTTGCGGGAAGGAAATAGCTTAGCATGGATGCATACACGAAGTAGGTTCTGGACTGAGTGTAGCATTTTATCGGATGCCTTCCAGCCGCTGACCTGAGAGAGGCTTCATGGATGCACGTCGATCCAGCCTGTGCCAGTGAGGGAGCCGTTTTGGTATCCAGGCTTTTTAGAAACTGGCTGCAGTCCTGTGGGTGGGGAGGGCTCTGCATCTGATCGGGGAGCATTCATGTGTGCACTGGTCTTCCCCTGAGCTTGTTTATCTTGTTAAAACTCCCCTCCCCAAACTACCCGCCAAGTGTTCTCCATGAATCTCTTGATCCGTGAAGAGAAACGCCCGCCAAGGAAAGCAGTTCTAGGATGATCTGCAGGAAATCCGACTTCTTCTTCTTCTTCTTCTTCTTCTTATTATTATTATTATTATTATTATAACATTTCTATGCTGCCCCTTGCCGAAACCTCGGGGCGGCTTACAACACAATAAAATACATTGAAATACAATAGAACATAATAAATTACCATTAAATACAAAAATACAAAAAATACACTGAGTTACAAATATAAAATTAAAATTATCAGTATAAAATAAGTAAATAAAAATATAGGAGGAGAAAAGAGAAGGAAGAAGAAGTTGCCCTGGCCAGATCATATGTTTTAACAATTAAAATGATGTTTAAATAAAAAGGTCTTTACCTGGCGCCGAAAAACCAGTAACGACGGTGCCAGGCGGACCTCTTTGGGGAGTGAATTCCATAGGTTGGGCGCCACCGCAGAGAAAGCCCTCCTCCAGGTACTTACTCTCCTAATTTCTTTCATGGAGGGTTCCCGGAGAAGGGACTCTCCCGCAGATCTCAAAGGGCGGACTTGGCATAATCCAGTGGCTCTATAGTTCCTCTTCTTGGGCTAGAATGGTGAAAAGGCCAGTGGAGGAAAGCCAGAGCACCCTTTGACCGAGTTCAGACATTTCCCGTGTCCAACGTTGTTGTTGAAATGTGGAGTGTTATGCTGTCTGAACCCGCATGTGAGCACCCCGCAGTTCACAATCGAGGCTTCTGTTCATGTGTTGTTCATGATAACAAGCCGTGGCTTGTTAGTGCAGGTGGGTTTAGACAACCCAAGAATCCATGTTTCAGCAACAACCCATAGTCCACAGCAACCCGTGCTCAGCCCGTATTCAGCCCTCGAGTTTGAGTTACCATGTTGTCCAGGCACAGTTTTTGTCTCTGTTCATATCCTTCACCGCTTGCTCTCTTGTTTTATGCCGTGAATTCCTACTTGCCTATTATATTTCATAACTTTATTATTATGTAGACAATGCATCTTACATTATGGGGTGTCATAATTACATAGCAGCAAAAAGACTTGAGGGGACCCTCCCCCCCGCAAAATAAAACAACAGAAAATGACAGCTTAGTCGTTTGAAGAGGAAAATAGTTAACTCCTGTAGCTGCTTCCCTCATTTTCCCTAATGAATAGTTTGCCCCTCTCAGACTGTTTTCTTGGCTTAATAAAATGCTCAGGGTAGTGCATTCATTTTGGTAGCTGCTGCTTCATCCCAGGGTTTGCTGCTTTCTAAGATCATACACGGTCTGCATTAAATCATGTTGGAGCACTGAGAAACTATCACAAGACAACACGTGCTCATTTTCTCTCCCCGCTGATATGAATGTGTCTGTGCTGTGGTTTTGCCTGAAAAACTTGGAGGGTTATCAGGAATTTAATGAAGGCCTTTAATGGTCCCTAATGACCTCAAATCTCTTTCTAGCTTTGGGAATATGACACCGTTGAGGGATTGGGAAAGGGCAGAGAGTCAGATAGGAGCTGAGCAGATTTTTTGAAAGCGCTGGAGTTAGCTGGCCTGGAAGTGTTTTGTGGGGGTGGGCTAAAGAGGTTTGTGTGCTCCCCATATGTGAACGAGTGATAAGAAATGTGTGGAAATGTTGGCGCCATGGAGAAATTCTGGGGTGCTGGTGGGCAAGAATGGATACGTGCTTTTCTGGTGCTCTTCATAAAGTCACTTTGATCCTTTGCAGCACAAAATATCGTATGCATAGCTCGTTTTGATCATAAAAGTATCGGAGGTTGATTTCTCATAGCTGAGCTAGATTTCAAGATTCCGTGAACAGTCGAGCCAGGCATGGGATATCAATGCTTGTGAGACCCCTGGGTGATGCTCTTTTTGAGCCAGTCTATTATACATGAAGGAATGTTCACCTACATTATAAACATGCGTTCAGACTCACGGCAGAGGAAACAAAGAAATGTATACGTGCACGATCTAACGTTGCGTTCTCTTTCTGTGGTTTTAGGGCTTCCAAGGTTTACTGCTCAGCCGGAGTCACAGTCCGTCTACAGAGGAAACGGCGTTCTTCTGAACTGTGAAGTCAATGCTGATTTGGCCCCCTTTGTGAGGTGGGAGCTGGACCATCAGCCCCTCTCTCTGGATGGCCGTGTATTCAGATTGCCAAGTGGGGCCTTAATTATCAGCAATGCCACAGACGAGGATGGCGGCACCTATTGCTGTGTGATCGAAATTGGTGGCTCCCCCAAATACAGTGAGGAAGCCGTGATTAAAGTTCTTCCAGGTACTCAAGGTTTCTCCTCCTAGTTTTCTCTTGAAGATCACGGATGGGGTGATTTGACTAATACCAGAGAGACCCCGGCTATTTGGTGGTCAAGTTTTCCAGGAGCAGTTCTCAGAACGGTTTACGTGGAAGGCATTGGCTGGTTTTCTCTTCCAGGCCTCAGAACCAAAGGATTCTTAAACAGAATCGTCTTCTAGCCCACCTTTTGTGCGATATTCTTGCTCATCAACACAAGGCATTACTTGTGTCTCTTCCAAGTATCTTTGTCTACTATAGTTACTAATTGGTGTCATTGGCATTTTCTGCATTGCTTAAATCTTTACAAAGCGTTAGTTGCAAAATGTATAGACACAACCAAGTAAGAAACCCCCTGCTGTTGCATATGGTGGCCATAATCTGTGTGATTTGCTGGCATCACTTTAAATTCACTCTTGCTGTATTTTGCTTGCTTGCTAGTTGCGGAGTCGCGTCCGACGCATTGCGACCCCACGGACGACACTCCCCCAGGCCTTCCTACCCACATGCTGTCTCATCACATTTTTTGCAGAATCGGAAACTGCCTCGGATCTGGTGTTCCTGCGGCAGCCCTCCTCCCTGACCAAGGTGGCTGGGCAGAGTGCGGTCCTGCCCTGCGTCGCCACTGGCGTTCCCGTGCCTGTTGTCAGATGGACGAGAAACGAAGAAGAGCTCGTTACAGAGAAGTATGCGGGCTCTCCTGTTGCATCCGCTCTTCCCATCCCGCCACCTCTTCCTGTCCTGATGCCGTGTCCTAGTTTCTCTTCCCATCATTTATGGGAAGAAAGTCACAGTAAATTGTTACTCTTGTGAGATTTTGGGGTAAGGGAATAGAAAGTGCGGCAGCTTACGCTGCCAAGTGTCGGGGGCTTCTTCACCATTATCAATAAGGAGGCGAAATATATGTATTTGCCAGAGCATCAAACCAACGAAAAAGTTTTTTTTAACTTACTAATGATGAGAAAACCCAACACAAATGTATGTTCCTTCTGTTTGTGCAAAAGAAAAGGTGGGGGAGGGGGCATTATGTGCCACGGATGAGTTTTAAATGAAATGTTGAAGAGTTCAGAATTGGCAAGGTCCGCTTGAGAAGTGATTTAAATGCTGTCCTGGTTTCCAGCTAAAATATTTCTTGTAAAATAGCAAATTAAGGAGCCAATGATTCTTGCATGGCTCTGGACTGAGATATTTATAGGTTACTGCACATCTAGGGCAGGGTTCTCTGTCAGAGTTGCAAAAGACTTAGAACTGCATCGATATGATTTTAGACTCCCTTTGAATGGCAGCCCTGCCTCGGTTCTGCTATTTGGCTAGATCATAATAAAATCTCACCATCCTTGAAGCCACCAGAAAAGTATAAAGACCTTTATGTATTAATGAATGTATGTGTTTAATTCCTGGCTGTAGTTGTTTATCTACTAGCACTGATGGGCGTTCATTCATGAAGATTCCAGTCTCATTCAGTGTGCCGTTTTTTCATTTAGTGTGTCCTTTGTTGCCAATTGTCAATTATTTTGAGTTTGCATCCCTTGGATAATTAATATTAAGAAGCTGACTTGTATCTCTTGCACTCATTAGTGCAGTCTGAATATCAGTGTGGTAACGAGAGCAATGCAAAGGGCTACATAGAAGGTATTTGGTACCTTAGTTGAGCAGATGCACAAAAATGAGGAATAGAAAGCAATGCGATGCTCTTACTAGAGCGTTTTCAGTTGACTTCGTCAAGTGTGGAAGTAGTTTGTTGAACAGAACTTAAAATATTAATTGGATGTTCAGGTTGCTTAGGAACGATGCTTGTTTGTGTTCCGTCAGGATTTTTAAAAAATCATTTCAACAATCTGCCCTGTTTTGCACAGCTCTCAAAAATTTTTACTTCTGGCTGGGGGGACGCTGAAGATAAATGATATCAAAGAAGACGATGCTGGGACATTCACCTGCATCGCCGACAACGGGAATGAAACAATTGAAGCCCAGGCTGATCTTACTGTACAGGGTATGTAAGCACCTTAGTCGAAGACTCAGAAGTTTTTGAGTGAGCATTTCTAGGGATTTTGTGCGATGGTTAACCATGGAAGATCGCGTAACCCAGTGGGCCTGTGCTGTCCATGTCAAAGCTTCCAGATTAAGTCTCTGATACCTCCAAGCAGGGCTGGGAAGGACCCCTGCCTGAAACTCTCTCTGGTGAGCTGCTGTCAGTTGAGAGATGGACAGTCTCGTGGGGCTCCCGGGCATAGTGTTACCTTTAGCACGTGCCCATGTTTTGGGCACCTTCCTCACTCTTCCTCCTCGTTACTTCTTTCTCTCCCGCTCCCAAAAAAAATCCTTATCAGACAATGTCTGATAAGCCAGGCATTTGCTCTAGACTTTTGGCGTTTGATTACTATTGATGCCTTTGCTTCCTGCACTGTTTTCCCTTTCCACCTGCATGCATATAACTGAGATCCACACCTGGGGATATTTTTTTCCTCCTGTTTGTTCATTATGAGAGATTAGCTCCATCTTATTTGCTTTAGATTGCTTGGCATTTGTGAAAGAACATTTCCATCCTATTAAGTTCTGTTGCTTTGCAATAATAAATTATCCATAATTATTCTTTTCATTTTGTTAAGATGAAGTTCATAGATAATCAGTTAAAGCGTTAGTTGATTACTTGGAAGGATACAGCTCCAATTGGACTTTTAAGTTTATTTTGAGGTATGTTGCCTCTGATCAGTAATGATGGAAACTTTAAAGATGGCTTTTCCATCTAACAGTGAGTAGCTTGCTTTGGTTTATGTAGTTTATTTTGCATTTCCATTAGTTTCTTAAAAGTTATCTCTCAGAATACAATTTAATTGATTACTCTATGAAAGGCAGGTGATGAACTAAACATTCTTAATTACTTGTCATCCTTTCTTAAATGGTACCGTTTGATTACGTGTTCTTGAACAATGCAATCAATCCTGGCAATTTTTTGACTCTGTAAGACTCCCTTGAAAGTCACATATACACTAATGATCTTAAGGATGCTTCTCATTTTGCGTTTTGCAATATGAGCCGCCCAGCCATACCTGCCATCGTTCTCAATTTCCTGTTCTTTCCTTATTTAAAGTGCCTCCTGAGTTTCTGAAGCAACCGGCTAATATCTATGCCCATGAATCCATGGATATCGTGTTTGAATGTGATGTGACTGGTAGGCCAACGCCAACCGTGAAGTGGGTGAAGAATGGCGATGTGGTGATCCCAAGTGACTACTTTAAAATCGTGGTAAGTATACGAAATCTGCAGCCTGAGGAATTAAACACTTAAGCTAAATAGATTTGGTACTATATTTTTATATTGACTGTTAAAACGATGCTTATCCTCCAATAAATACTCAGTAGCCATTCTTAACCTACATCGCAAGAAGGCTAGGATGACACAGTTATACTGCAGAGTTTCTTGTTGCAATATTGTAGGATGTGTGTTCATCATAAAAGATTCACCCATGCTATGAAGTAAACATATTTTCCTTGATACCAGTAGAAAAATTATCTAGATTTATTCAGTTGGGTATGGGCTGTATCCTAGTGCTAGGTTACTGAAACTTTTCTCAGTGCAACGTGTGAAAATACATTTTGAAGTAACTTCCTAGATGACTGGAAGAGGTTTTAATGGGAGAAACAGCCTGAGGGGAAAAGGTTAAGTAGACCCCCCCGCCACTCAAATGTGGAACATCTTGGCTGTGTTGAGGCAGTGGTGTTTTACGTCAATATCTTGTTTTTGCTTGTTAATGTCAGACCATATTCCACGTGTCTCCTCTCTCACCTCTGGTTTATTCCTGAGACAGAATAAGATTAAGAATGAAAGAAAGGGGCTTAGTCCCAGAATAAAAAGCAGGGGATAGGTATTAGTACAGGAAAGAGAGCTTGAAGAGGAATCACCAAAGAAAGATACCATTAGAAAAGCACTTATTGATTTTGTCAACAATTAAGCTGTGCCTATATTTGGGAAAATGTAGAGAGGGAAATGGAAAAAAGGCAAGGAAAATAGATGGGAGATTTGATTTTTGAATAAATGGTACTTTGTGACTGGTGAAATAGTGGGCTAAGTAAATGACAGAAACGATCAGAAATGGACCAGTTTTTAGCAGAGTGCCCAAAAGTATGGATACAAGAACAAAGCAGTGAATCAAGCCTGCTGAGCAAATGGAGAGAGTAGATGGAATCTTAGGAAGGAAATAGCCAAGTAGAAAGCAAGGCTGAGTTACTTGAGTGTCAACCATTAGTGGCATAGTAAAAACTGATTACAGAATTTGGTGGGGGGCGGTCGGCATTTATTGAAATTAAATGAATTGGGTTGCAGACAAGTAACGAATCGGAAAGTGGGGGAAGGCACAGTGTCTACCCTGAAGAGTAAATAGTGACATGTGAGAAGACTAGAGAAGTTGATGAAGCTCTTCCAAGCTGGGCTGAGAGACTATAAGCTCCTCTTAAAATCGGAGCATGGGAGAAAAAATGCTGGACTTCCACCAGCCAGTGAGTATTGGGAAGGGATTTGGTAGGTGAAGTTTGGGAATGATCTCCGGCCCCCGAAGCAGCAGGTTCAGCCCAGTACTGGAGGTCTCCTGGGGCCTGGGCTGGCCATGCTGCTGGTACAAAAACAGGTGGGCGAGGAGGCCAGCCACTGTGGCGAGCTCTCTGCACCTCACTCTTTTTCGGCCCACCAGCCTCTGAAATCTCTCCTTATTCAAGCTGGCTTGCTTCATTTCTCGTCCGTACTTTCACAGCACCCCAGAATTATATCCTGAGGGCAGTTTATAGAAAGAACGAAACTGTTAAAGCGCAAATGTAAATAAATAAAATTAGCCTGGAGCTACAGTTAGAAGCGCAGCGTGGAACAGTCCATATGATTAAAATTGCATCTAAAAACCTCGGAGAGAATTAAGCGGCTTTTGCCTGGGACTAAGGAAGTCATCATCCGCAACCCCTGAAAACTCTCCCCGCATATACTACAGGTTGATGAGGAAGGAGGAGTGTATGTCACTTTTTCTAGGTCGAAACAATTATTTGTGTGTGTGCGATTTTTTTTTTTCCTGAATTAATCTCAGGAAAGCTTGGGAGAATTCACCCATCCCAAGGAGGGGTTGAGAGGAAAGAGGAAATTCAATCAAAGCAATAAATTGAGGAAGCAAACCACTGCTTTAGCCAGATTGCCAGAAGGCAGAAAGAAAAAAATGACAGAGGAGCAGATGTGACTGGATGAAAAAGTGTGAGGCGTGTTTCAGACAATAATCAATTTATAAAGGGATAGAAAGGTGTTACAGAAAAGATCGTATTTGTTGGAGACAGAAATACCTTCAGGAACCTCTCAAATGGAGTATTGGAACAGAAATTTGACCTAATATAGGAAAGGGGGGGATGTCCATGGGCCACCAACTATTCCTGGAATAGAAGGGAAGAACAAAAACCAAAATGAGAAGGAAACAAGCAACTCCTTTTCTGTGGCGGAAGCAGCAGGCACATGGCAGGAGTCCAGGCGGCTGTGCCTGGAGATTTCCTATCACGGCAGTCGGCTGACTGGTCGGCTTGGCGGTCTCTGGGACCTTTCTGACCTGGTTCACACAACATGGCGGTAGCATCGTGGTCGATTTAGTGCCTGATTCACTGTGGCATTTGCTAGGTGCTTTACCTCTTTATTATGCAGTCCTTGATTTGGGCTGATCTATAGCTGGCTATGAAATGCCTGGATCCTAAATCGCTGCTCTGTTCATGCAAGTGGGTGGGGAGCAATTTCGGCCAACTTTTTCTATGCGCGGCTCTCTGCATGGTACCTTATGCCGCCTCCAGAGGCCCCAGTCTTCAGGAACATTTATAGAAGCATTTATGCCTTCATGGAAAGGAAGTTCGGGTCCAAGTCAATGCAATGCAAAGAGCTTTTGAATCAGCTCCTGATTTTTTGCTGGTCGTGTTCCCCTAAAGCTTGATTAATACAATACTGTGATGAATGTATTAGCCATATCATTCCTATTATTTACGTAGGAAGCATGAGATTAATGACTCAAGATATCCTAGTAGGCATCTGTATATTAACTGAATGTATATATGCACCGTGATTCTACCCAGGCATCCATGGAGGTTTACGGTTTAAAACTGATAAAAAGTTAAAAGCCAGGTGCAGTTACCTCAAGCTCTTGGTGGCCTCTCCGGGGCCTGATGGCAAGGCCCCCGCAGCCCGAGCTCCCCCTTTTCTACACTCCCCTGGGATACGGAGCTCTTTCATGCAGGGGTCTCAGCACAGCAGGAGCCCGGGCGGAACTAAGCGACGCGCAGCCTGGCTGCCTCTCCCTGCCGTTTCTCTTGCTTTCTCATCCCTGCATGTTTCCATTCTCCCCATCTGCGCCTTCATCACGCTCTTCTCTGACTCCCAGTCTCTGGCCTGGCCATCCAACTCTCCCTGCTCTTTCTCTGACTTCCCCACCCCTCTTCCTGCCTTCTGTGTTCTGGTCTCCTTTGCTGGGCCGGTTCTCCCTCCCACCCAGTCTCTACCCTTGTTCCTTCGGCTAGCCAGGCCTCCGGGGTGGCCATAACATGACGAGCCACGTCCGGCGCAGGGGCCCTCTTGCGGTGGTGTCCAGCACAGCTTCTCAAACCCCCAGCTGTCGGGGGCCCTGCTTCAAGGAGCCCCTGGGCAAGGCATGTCGGGCCATTTCTTACTTTTCAGTGGGAAATTCATGTTAATTTAGAGCAAATTTCAGATGTACTAAATTAAAGCCTTGCTTTGAACATATTGTAATTCTGTCAGTGCCATTTTAAGACTTCCAAATGTTGCAGGGTTTAAAAAGAAACACAGTTTATGCGGATCTTACTGCATAATTCGAAGGCTGAAAACTAAGTTCTCAAAAAGAAGTTATTAGCATGTGACATGAGGCATAAAATTGTGTGTGTTCACACGTTTTCTCACCTTTGCAACCCTTACGGATTTGACTTCTTCCTTTTGGTGAATAAAAGATGATACTTTGTATGTGTTCTCTTTTTAGAATGAGCATAATCTACAGGTTTTGGGTCTGGTGAAATCAGATGAAGGATTTTATCAATGCATTGCAGAAAATGACGTGGGGAACATTCAGGCAGGAGCCCAGCTGGTAATACTAGATCATGGTAAGAAAGTTGGACCACATGCTGTCAAAAGATGCTATGTGAGGGGAGGCAAGAATGTTTAAGTTTGTGGCCATTTTTCTGCAGGATATTCTTCGTTCACACGTGGATAGAAGTTTCCCGCTATAATTCATGATCTTGCAAATTAAGATTTCTAAATCATTTCTCTTCAGATTGAAATATTATATTTGTGTGTTATAGAAAATTCTTTCAACTTGTGAGCATGACTGATCAGAGACTCCGTGTTGCTCTGGTATAGCCGTATATAAAAAGTAGTAAGACCAAGAGGTTTGATCAACTGAATGATGATGAGTTTCAGTAGTGAAAATTTGCAGGAACTGCTGAAAATAAGAATCACTTCAGTGAGGGCAGTTCCCTGTGTGTGTGTGTGTGTGTGTGTGTGTGTGTGTGCGCGCATGTGCACTCCTGTATCCTAGCAAGTGACGTTTGTCTTAGTGTAACGTGAAGGACCTTGCCGGCGCCTTTCAGGATGATTTTAATCAATCAGAGGGTGGCCCTCGGTGTGACGCATTCTGCCGTTCTTCTTAATCACCCTCCATCTACCCGGAACAGCCTTCAGTGGGAGGGTCAGGGTTAGGGTTCAGGCACTCTCCGGCCGCCGAGGAGCGGGACAAAGTTGAGACAAGAGGGCAGAAGCCTGGGACGGACTGCCCCGAAAGAGGAGGAGGCAGGCACGCGGCATCGCCGTGAGACCTCTTCTCACATCTTCCACTCCCGAGCGTTGCGTGGGCGCCTTCCGTCCTTGGCTTCTTTAGTTGGCCGCCATCACAGACAATGAGAGAAGGGATGGAGCGATCTGGCCCGGTGCACCCGCCTCCCTTCAGCGTCCGCGCATGCTTAATTTCCTGCTGCTCTCGCCACACCTCTCTGCTCTTGTCACAGTGCCTCTTGCTGCAGTCTTCCTCAGCCCTGCTGGTTGCTCCTTAGTTATCTCCCGTTCCTTCCCTGGTGCTGTAACGCCTTCACATCAGAAAACAACAGTCAAGATTGATTGATTGATTAACTTAGGTGTTGTGAGCTGCCCCGAGAGCTTCAGCTATTGGACAGTGTGCCGTGTAATAAATAAGATCAAATGAAATGAGTCCCTCCTTCAGAGGAGGAAGAGTGCTTTCGGAGGAAAGTGGCTCTGAGTTGTCAAAAGTTGGTAGTTTAAAACTTTCCATTTTTCAATGGAAAGGGAAGCACGAAGAAATCATACCAGCGTAGGTAATTTGCAGCTGTTGAAACAAGAAATGGCTGATAAGATTACAAACATTCTCCTCAGGACACATTTTGCCAATATAATTCCAGTGTTGAGCTTATTTGGTAAAAGAGCATGGTGCTTGCTTACCACTGCTGGCATGTGTAATATTTACTCACTATTTTAGATCTGAGCATACCGTGTGTTCAGAATCAACCGCCTGCCTTGTCACTGTAGTACTTCTGGAGATTCCACAGGGTGGAATACATTTTTAAAATGAGAAAACATTATTTTGCTATCCCTTCTGCTCTGGAATGTACATTATCTAACCCAATTTGATATAGCCACTTTATGGTTTCTGTCATTGGGTTTGTGGCTTTGGAAGGAGAGAAGTACCGCTTTATCGGTTCTGTGTAAAAACACACCCTGCCTGCCTGTTGCTGTTATGTTAACACTGGTATCTTATCTAAAATACAACATCATTTCTGGTTGGAATGTTAGGAAAATTTCCTTTCCTTTCTGAATTCTCTCTGTGTGATGTGTTGATAGGATACACCTTTTTATTATTGGACATGGCAGGAAAAATTAAATAACTTCCTTTAAAGCAAAATATGTCACGAGTGTGGGTGGAGTGTTTTATCACACTTTTATGACTTCCTTTAAAAGTTTACACTGGAAAAATTAAAAACATCCTCCTGGCCAAAATCTGATATTAAAGTATATGGATGGCTTTGGGGGATGGCAGGGCTGTCAAATATTCAATATTTTTTTTAAAAAAAATCAAGTTCTACTGCACTATTGATTACGAATGTCAGAATTGTTGTAACAGGAATGATTAACTGGAGGAATCCAGTATTGTAATACATATGTGTTTGATTAGGTCAGTCGATATCAAATTTGGGCACATCAGTATGATTCTGTAATTTAAAAACCGAAAGGGTTCCGTCTTTTGAATCTCCTTCTCCTTGTTCACCCACACGTCATGGCACGGTTGGCGCAACACAACAGCCCGCTGCGACTTGTCCTTGAGGTACCCGAGGGCTGGCGGACCTACAGGTGCCGTGCGGGCGCGTGCAGGTGTAACTAGACCTGTGGGGCTGCCGTCGCATGCGAGCCTAGCCCGCGTTTGCTGAGGAAGCCTCGCGATGATGTACCAAACCTCCTTGCCATTTTTGCAATTTGCGCCGGAGCCATTAATTCCTCCCTCTGACATTTTTCACATCTTCATTCGCCCCACTCGGCTCTCCGCCCTCCCCGTCCTTTCTCTTCATTCGTCTCTCATTCATCTCCAGGCCATTTGTATGTCTTCTCCACTGCTGCCAGGAATCACGAATTGGCTCCGAGATGGATTTTGAAGCATAAATAGTAAATGGCAACTGAGGGCTGCCTCCAGTTGACACTGCCAAATAAGCTTTAAAATAAAATCTTAAAGAAGGAAAAGCTTCAGGCTCTGTTCGGTCAGCACATTGAAAGCTACCATTTCTAAAGGAAAAAAATCACCGTTCCACATGCTTGTGGCAGCCAAAGATGCTTGCGCTTGCGACTGGTAAAAGTAGGATTCCTTTTATTTTAGAACGGATGATGAATTTATGGGATCTAGTCATAATGGCACTGTTAATGAGTTCCATTAGGGTTAATGAAGGAAAAAAGGGAATATACAATTTTAAAGAAAGAAATAGTCATTGAATATTGTATTCAGTTCTCAGGGCAAATAATTATGGTAATTGGAGTTCTGTATTATAAGCAATGGCATTCTTTTGAAAAATTAGGAATATTTTAATGTATTATTATCTAAATTAAAACATTTAACATAAGTAAAAATGAATGTTATGTTTCCAGATTGAAAAATTACATAATGCTACATTTTGAGAACTGCCATTCTGTTAGCTGACCTCATCGTCCCAGTTGTGCCTGGTGCGATGATCACCCCCACCCCTCATTTCATATCTTTCGGATCTCGCTCATTCTCACTTCCTGTAACAGCCTGACAAATCAAGGCTGCCTGAGAGCCAGCATGCCTAGTGTGTCTTCTTTCCCTCCGTTCTGATAGATTCCTAGGTTAGGTGCTTTCAGTCCGTGCCTGCAAAGGACAGGCCAGCCATGATTCGCCAATGTTTGCCTGCTCCGTCTTTTTCACATGGCCAGCTGGGGCCCTTCATGACTAAATCTGCTAGAAGGGAAGGATCCAGTCTGCTTCTTCACATGGAAGGCCCGCGCCCCTGTGATTCTGCTGCACCCTGCCATAGGAGGCACCTGCGACATGCAAAACAAAGATTTCATGCTTCTGGGGGCAGTTAAAAACAAGCAGAAGTGCTTGTTTCTGGACTGGGCATGTTGCAGGAGTCCTGCCAGTATGTCCCAGTTGAGAAAGGAGCGTTCCCTGCTCATGCAGTCGCATCTGCAGGGTGTAAGAGAAGCAGCAGGGATGCAGGTTCCCCACTGGAGTCGTCGTTTCCAGTGGAGCCTTGCAGATAGCCAGGATTTGTCACACGTCACCTCCGGATGAACCAAACCGTCAGATGAGAGCTTGTCTTTCATCTGCCAGGGAATTTGTCAGGAGCGGCTTGCTGTCATCGGATGAAGGAGGTCTGCAGCCTCGACATGGCAGGTTTTCAACCAAGTGGGAGATGTAGATCTTTAAAGAAAGACACACTTCCGGGGCAAGGCATCCCCGGACTCTGGAAGAGCGGCCTTGCTAAGGGGAGCATTAGCTGTGATGCAGCGCGCACGGATGGGCTGCTCCCTGATGCGACGCCAGGGAATCCCTTGGCAAGGCACACCTGACGAGCGCACTCTAGATCTGTGAATGGGAGAAGCTGCTCTCCTTGGCTTCACTGGGAGCTCCGTCTTGAACCTGGAGCTTCATGCGCTCAAACCACTTGGTTTAATGAGTGACCTGTGTCGTCTCTTTTTCAGGCACAGAAAGGAGTAGGGTGTGCGCGGCCTTGGCAGTGTACGGATCAGGCCTGCCGTACGTAGCAGGAGGCTGTACTTGTGGCTTTGTGGCCGCAGGTGCCTGCTGAGTGCCTGAGATGCTTCGTGTTTTATTCAGTTCGGGGGATCAATATTTTGGTATTTGTCTACTCCTAATTCTAAAGTTAAAACTAGGACATAATTTAATCCACAGCTGAAGGGGAAGCAGGGGATTAAAATTTACGGAGGGACAGGAGGAGGTAAAATCAGAAATTGTGACATACTTTCATAACAAAAATAATGATAAAGGCATTTGCAACTATTCGATAAATCTCATTTAACCTTTTGGGTGAAATACATTTGCTTGAGAGGTTTTGAAAAAACACAATGGAATCTAGAAATGCTTCTCATACAATAGCATGCCTCAGGAATTTAAAGTATTTCTGCTATTTTCCACAAAATATTGCTGGTAATGGCACTATTTCCTGTGCTAAGTTGCTGAAAAATATGTTCTTTGAAACACTTAAAACAAGAGGATGAAGTTTAAATTGGCTTAAAGCTGGAGAAATGTCATTTATTTTATGCTATAATATACATCGCATTAATATATTACACGCTGATACAATATGTGCTCGTTATGTGTCTGCTGTATGCAATCTCGATTCCGACTGCAGCGGCTTTAAACATTGCAGTCACGCTGCAGGGATGGGGGAAGCCGCTCCAGGCGCTGTGCTGCTCTGCGGAATCACCTGCATTCGGTTGTAAGAGAAGCCCAGGGCAGGTGCAGCCGTTCACGCCCCGAGCTTGTGCCCCAGCACGTTTGCTTTGCACGCTAACTTGTCCGAGCGTGTCGGGGTCTGGTTGCGAAGGCCCATCAAGCAAAAGGAGGGCAAAAATTGCAGCGCCCTTGTACATGGTCACGGCGCATCATAAGCACGGGGGGAATGTCCGGAGCTTCCTTTAGCTGAGGCAGATCTGGTGGGAGGCACCTGCGGCTGCTCCGGCACCTTGTCCGGGCCGGCAATCTTGCCTGCTCCTTGAGCTCCTTCAACCGCTGCTGGGGAGACCTGTATGGAAGAAGTCGCCGCACCTCCTCAGCTCCTCTGCAGTAGGAACCAGCCTCTCCGGCAGCAGCCGGCTTGCTATTCACCTGTATCCATGATGCACAGCAAGGAAAGATGCAGCTTGCCTTGCTGCTTTGCCGCCTGGCCTCGCTTGGGTCCAAGGCTGTGAAGCCTGCAGTTTAAACAGGATTCTTTGTTCATGTGGATGTTTAATGAAAGTGTGTGACGGCCGGGGAACCATGTTCCTGCGGAAGAAGGTTTTGCCAAGCCTGGGCATCTGCAGCGCATAGGCTGGACTAGGCATTTCAGCTCCGCTATCACAGCTTGGTAAGTGCTCCCTGGAACACGGCTTGGTCGTGTTTGGTGTGTCGTGCAGTAACTATTTAAATATTTTGTATGCTGATATTTAGGTAAACAGCTTCCCAAAGTAGGCCACAGTTGTTGGAAAACGATACGCTAACACTAAAACTCGGGTACAGTGAAGCAGACGAGATACAAGAGAGCTCCATTAGTCAGACAAGCAAAGATGTACTGCCAAATAGATAACAGGCTGGTACCAAGCGAGGCTCCCCGAGGAGGAGGAACGTGCTAGTTAGGAAAAGGGTGTTTTTCCATAATGGCCCCCCACAGAGCACATCTGCAGTTTGTGAAGAAGTAGCGAAACACAGGCTGGAGAGCAGGATCTGAGGGGCACAGGTACGTTGTGTTCTGAGGTCTGAGGTCAAAGATAGCGCACCAATTCAGAGGTGGGAATCGGCGCTCTGGCCCCCTTCCCCTCACAGCTGCCATGGAAAAAATCCCTGGAGCCAGGAAAGCGAGCCTGCAGAGAGGGGAAAGGGCATGTTTTGGTGGGTGGGGAGGAGTCTGGAGAGGTCAGGATGTGGCCACCTTGCTTCCTCTTCTGAAACACTCTGGTGATTTGGGGGAAGGGCCGTCAAGAGGAAGGAAGGAAGGAAGGGCTGGGAGTGGAGGTCTCTCTCATGCAGCCGCCCTATTGCCAGAATTGCCCATGTGCCCGCACTGCTGTTTGCATCCCCACCACAGGTGTGGCTTTTGGGCAGCCGCACAGGTGAGCCCTGATGCCTAAGCACTGGTGGAGTTTGGCTACAAACTGGTCCTGATTGGGGTTAAGGGGCTGGGAGCGGCTCCGATTTTCCCCCCCCCCCCCCCGGTGTGCTTTCACTTGCGAAGTGCCTTACAATGTCTGGAGCCTGAGTGTTCAAGGCTAGTGATGACGGATGGCTCGCTTGGTGCGGGATCGTTGCACGGTAGATAGCGGCGCTCGTCGCTCAGCCAGAGCGGCTCTTCCTCTGCTCTGACTTCAGTCCTGCCACAGACGTGCCTCCTCTGGGGTGCTTTCCTTGTGTCCCTCTTGAAAACAGTAATCCACTTTGCTGCCCGAGGTAATTGCAAATGCACAAGATAAAAACCTGCTTCTTCCCAGATTCACTCCATTCTGAAGTTTATTTGTTTGGTCTTCCCATCTCTATATATCTGAGGAGGTTCATCGGACATAGAAGCTTTTCCTTGCAGTCATGCGCGATGGCTTAATGAGCGCTGGTGTTTTCAGAGGCATCGCCATCACCGTCGCACTGCATTTACGTCCCACATTTTCTCGTCAGGAACACGCGGCAGCCTCCATCGCTTCATTTTATATTAAGAACAACAGCCCTGTGAGGTTGTTTAGGCTGAGAGTGAGCATTGTGAGCGACCGGCGCAGAAGCGCCACATGAGTGTGGGCTAGAACATGGCAGTCTCAGATCTCCGGTCCAGCCCAGTAGCTCCCCCGTCACACTGGCTCTCTCCTAGCGTGTGTCTGCTCTTGCGCCTCCCAGAGTATTTGGGGGGTGAAATGAGGCCTGTGCACCATAAGCTGGTCTTTCTGTTGCAAAACTGAATCCAGTGGAAAGGGGAGGAGACAGGAAAGTTAAATAAGACTATTTCTAGACCTTTGCTAGCTGCAATACTCTAGATTTCTAAGAAAATAGAATGCACCCATATCTGTATGTTTTCATCGATATTTTAAAATCAAAGGAAGTGTTCCTTTTAAAGTGTTTTGTAACACTGCTCAAAGTGACTTAAATTAAATGAGAGAGATTGAACCCAGGTTTGGTCATAAGCTAGAGGAGACCTTTGGACATCAATGTGACTTATATTAGTTAGGTCCTCTTGAGTGCAATGGGGCTGTTTTAAGTACGATTGCATCCGAATCCAACCTTAACTTAAACTGAACGCATTGTTATACGGAATTGTGCCTGTGTGTATTAAGAACACCTCCGCCCGTGTTCCCACATGATGGCCGCTCGGTTTGGAAGATGAAGCATCACGTGGTTGCTCCCCCATTTATGGGGAAGTGCCCCATATGCTAAATACGGAGTTGATAAATTATGAGGAATAATGTTGCATGAAGAAAATGCAGCTGCGGTGAAAGACTGAGATTCCTGCATCTCCTTTTCAAACCTCTCCTGCCCTGGCTGTGAACCATTTCCGTCTATTCAGGCTCCAGATGATAATATAACAGGTTATAAAGCAGGTTGATTATGCAACTGAGCTACTCACAATCTGCACAGAAGAGCTGGGGAACCTATAATCCATAGGTGGTTTATTGTTGAGCATAGCACGGATGATGTGCTTCAGTTGTACAAGTGAAAATGGAAATTATCAGAGTGTGTTTCATTGACGGCATGGAGTAGACAGTTTCTAAAAAACGGAATACTGCAGCATAACAAAGTTTAATTGTCAGAAGCAGATGTTTCTTTTATGAGATGAAGCTGCATCCTCAGTTTTCACCCTTCCCTTTCCTTCCCACTTCCATTATGACGGAGAGCTTTGACCGCCTGCCCAATAGCGATGTCTCCTTTGATATCTCCCATTAGTTTTCCGTAGTGACCTTTTTGCCTGCATGCCAGCCTTCAGTTTAATGGCCTTTTTTGTGTGTTCATTTTGTTTCGTTTCCCATCGTGGTTTTGTTTATTTCTTTTTTGGTTTTTTCTGTTTTCTCTTTAAATCGTCGTGATGTTTGCCCTCCATATTCCCCACTGTTTGCACATGACAAGATGTTGCCATCCCAACATTACCTCCCACTTCACTGACCAGTGCCACTACTGACCATCTAGCGCCAGCGCCGACTGGACCCCTTCCTTCTGCCCCGCGAGATGTCGTGGCTTCCCTGGTCTCCACCCGCTTCATCAAGCTGACCTGGAGGGCACCTGCGTCTGATCCACATGGAGATAATCTCACCTACTCCGTGTTTTACACCAAGGAAGCTGTAAACAGGTACACCAACCGGCGCGTTGCTGGAGTGGGTTGAAATTTAAGAAACCCTGTTTGAACTTCTGGCAGTTTCCACGTTTTGAAGCACCAGCACCCCATTGCATATGAAGCTTGTATGTGACACTGCCAGTGGAGATCAAAATCAAGTATTTATAAATCCAAGGAGGGAGAGACGGTTGATTCCTTGCAGACTCTTGCCATGGCTTGGCCTAAAATCTTTATTTGGTGCAAAGGAGGGTTCCTTATTTAGTTCTACAGAAAGTTTAGAAGGTTTCCCTTGGCTCCTGCTCTTATGCAGAAATCTTTTCAAAGGCACAGAATCTGAAGGGCCTCTCACTGTTTTTTTTGCTCCAGTACTGGGTGAATCTAGGACTGGGATGTTTTAAGTGGTTCTGTAGATACCTTCCAAATAAATAAATAGCTTAAATGGAAAAGTCCAGTCTACAGGATGGATAAAGCAAGTCCCAGAAGAATTCTTTAGAGGAGGAGCAAGTCCTTTGTTAAAATGATTTTAGGTGTTTACTTTCTCTTAAGACGTATGAAGGATCACCTGCACCCATATGAGCTTGCTCTGACGTTCAGATAAGCACTGGAGGCCCCGGTCTCAGAGGTGCTACAGATTTGCTGTTTGGTGGAGCTGCACTATGCTTAGAAATGCTGTAGCTGATTCTGTTTTGGAATCGCAATCGCATTTTCTTGTGTATTGGTATTGTCAGAGCTGTGCGCTTGGCAGACAGATTTTTTAAAAAGCATAATTAGGATATTTTCATGTAGTGTGTTCTTCTGCGTGTTTATGTTCAGTGGAGTATAATATCAAGGGGGAATGCATAGGGTTATTCCGCAAGTCTGGCAGAACACTGCAAGCCTTCTATTGGAGGGCGCTCCAAATGGCTGATGAGAAGCAAGAAATGAAAATTCCCATGCCATCTTTGTCTGGATGTACCTGAGGCTAGAACTTTTCCTTAGGCAGAATCTCAGCTGGTGCAAACTAAGCAGGTAAAGGTACTTTTGGCCACCGCTGCCACCTGAGCTGGAAGATGCCGAGCTGAGACGACAGCCGCCCTCCCCCAGAGTGCAGAAGCGTCTTTCAGGGAGCCTGCCAGAACGAGTTGGCCCCTCTGCCCGGACCGGCTGTTTTGCTTGGCTAGAGCAGCCCGTCCTCTCTGAATTTCGTGTTCCATGCTGCAGCCGACCTGTATGCAGCAGAGGCCCTCCTCCGGGAACCCTCCGTGAAAGACACTAGGAGGCAAAGTACCTGGAGGAGGGCTTTCTCTGCAGTGGCGCCCCATCTGTGGAATGCGCTCCCCAGAGAGGTCCGCCTGGCGCCGTCGCTATTTATTTTTCAGCGCCAGGCGAAGACCTTTTTATTTCAATTATATTTTAATAACTTTTAATATCAGCTTATAGGTTTTAATCTGCAGCCAGGGTGGATCTGGATTTTATCTGCATTATGTTTTGTTTTATTTATGTAAGCTGTCCCGAGGCTATGCGATGGGACAGCATACAAATGCTCCAAATAAATAAATAAAAATATGCTGTAGCACCTGCAACTCTGCAGCGGGGGCCCCCCGGATAATACTTCTAGATGAGCAGGGCCTTTCACAGCACTCTGTCACTGAACGCTGCATCTTCGGAGCAAAGTTGTGGCCCCAGGAAGCCTGTCGCTATTACTACATGCCTGCATGCTGATCTTTACTGTGACATCATTTGCTACTTAGAAGCGTGGCACATTCCTTATTTCTGCCCCCTGAAGTCTTCTCTCGTGTGCCTGCGTTCATGCCACCCGGTTCATCCATCCATCCAGTCATATGTTTTGGCTTGTTTGCTTTTCTTAAGGGAGCGTGTGGAGAACACAAGCCACCCGGGGGAGATGCAAGTGACCATCCAGAACCTGATGCCGGAGACGGTTTACGTCTTCAGAGTGGTCGCTCACAACAAACAAGGGCCGGGAGAAAGCTCAGTGCCACTCAAGGTGGCGACGCAGCCAGAAGGTAACACAAGGCTTTGCTCCATCCCGCTTGTTGCCGTTGCCACGGCAGAGGAACGCTGGTTCTCAGAAAATAGGTGGGCAAGCGTCCTCTGATGCAGCTGCCATGCACTTGTGTATGATCCTGACCGTGCTTTCACCGCCTGACATGAGCGAGACCCAAAGAAAGCTTAAGCTGGAGTATAATGATTAAATAGCAGTAACAGTAACCGTGGGATCTTAAGCTGAAGTGAAATTACTAACACCTGCATTGCAGCCAAGTCGGGGTCCCAGATCAGGTTGCAAAGCGCAGTGAGACTCTCCCTGGCCTCAGGTTGACAGTGCAAATGACGTGGCACAGAAGGAAAAGGGTTTGGGTGAGAGGAGGAAAGTGCAGACACGGGCACCAGCTCTTGCGTATAGATTTCTTTTCAGTGAGGGGGAGGGAAGCAGCCTCCCCGCGGCTGCTCCTCTGCTGGCTGTGCTTGGGCCCGGCCTCTCCTGATCTGCTGGCCTTTGGCAGAGGCCGGAATGTGCTCCTCTTCAGCTCTTTACCAACGTCATCTTCAAAGGCAGCCCTGGCCATGTTGCTGGACTGATTTATTCTCTGTTTTACTGCTAAGAGAGTCTTGTTTATCCCGTTTTCATCTATGACCTGGATGCACTGGCCATGAGGCGTCGCCGTGCTGACTTTTGGAGAGAGGCCTTGGGCTCGCGTGCTTCTTCCCCCCTCTTTTCTTTAAAGACACAAGGAGGAGATTGGAATATTTTGCTCCTGTTTAGCACTGCACCCCAGCCCTAAATGTGGTTATTCTTAACTATGGTTGTGGAAACAAGCCACTTCGTATCTCGTGGGTTAAAATTGTGTTTATTTCCCCCCCAAATGAACCATACCTGGTCAGGTTCGGACAAAGCAGTAACCAGTCAGAAATGCTTTTGGTCCTGCGGAGGAGTAGAGGGTACGTGAGCTCAAGGCGGATTCCCATCTCAGTAAATGTCGGTTTATGGTGACACGCAGGCCAGCGCATTGTGTAGTTCTCCAGCGTTTCAGGCCCCTGCGAAGGAGAGAGTCCACGGTTCAGTTCTTGCCGGACTCAGGGAAAGGCAGCTTGCGCGTCCATCATGGGCTCCAGGGTATAGCCCTCCATACGTTTTACGTGCTTAATGCTTTGTATGCTTCTATACAGTTCTGTTTAGAATTCTGGGGGAACTGATTTCAGGACCCTCTGCTTCCGATAAGCAATATAAAGTACAATATATTTTTCAGTCCAGCTTCCTGGCCCAGCCCCCAATATCCGGGCCTATGCCATCTCCCCAACATCAGTCGCTGTCAGCTGGGAAACACCGTTATCTGGCAATGGAGAAATCCAGAACTACAAGTTATACTATATGGAGAAGGGGACAGAAAATGAGCAGGTACGGCCCATCCATTCTTCTTAAGAACATGTAGTAGCATTCGAATTCAAAGCTTCTATGGTACATGCATAGTAAAATGATACAGTACGCTGTCACTGTTCCTTCTGGGTTTATTTTGAGATTTTGGTGGCAGTACCAGTATGCTAAGAGCAACAGAAACAATGTTTTCTACTTGGCATCATTCCTAAGCATGTCCTATTCTCAGAATTTGAAGTAATTGTCAAAACCAGTTCAGGTGAACCAGTCAGATTCTGATGAAGATGTACTGATTTCTTTCCTTGATTTCGCCTGCGCCTTGCCGCTTACAGGTTAGCACAACCAATTTTAAGTGACAAGAGAGGCTGCAGGGTAGTTAGATGACCCAGGCTTCTTGGCACAGATCAGCATTATGTAAACTGCAGTTCAACTGGGGCCCAGCCGCTGCAGTGGGACCTGGGCTTGCGAACGCTTACACCCAGTGTCAAGAGCGGCCCTCTTTCAATGTTTTGTCTGTCTGTTTTTTCCATGAGTTGCTACTCCCACCAGTTACGTAGGCACCTCGATAACATTCCCCAGGTGACCCTGGACTATCTGGTGGGAGAAATCAGACCCAGGCGGATAAGAGCTGGTCACTTTTTAGGGGTGACAGGAAGGTCCAGCCTCTTGTACTAAAAGCAGAAATTGGCAAATGTTCTGCCCTAATTGCTGCGTCAACCCGAGTAATTAACTGAGCCTGCTCAGAAGACTGCCGGGCCCATCCAGTAAGAGATACCAAAACCCACGTGGCAGCGTAGTTTGGCTGAGAGAGTTGGGATTTAGGAAGCCTCCACATCTTGGTCGAGAAAGCACCAAGCAGGTCCCTGAGCACGTAGCGACTCGGAGGTTTCCTGCATGCATCGTAGCAGGAAGTGCAAGAGGGGAGTTGAAATCAGGCTGTGCAGAAGAGTGGGCGAAGAAGGGACCGCCGTCTGGAGGACGGTTTCAGGGCAGCCGCTCTGAGCGTGCCCCTCGTTTCGTGACTCTGGCTCCGACCGAGAGAGCTGCCGTTTTCTTTAAAAGGTTTACGGAAGAAGGATTTTCTGAAGTTGCAATATTTATCTTTTCAAATACAGGATGTTGAAGTTGGCGGACTTTCATACACAGTCCCTGGTTTGAAAAAATACACAGAATACAGTTTTCGAGTTGTGGCCTACAATAAACACGGTCCAGGCGTTTCTACACAGGATGTCGTTGTCCGAACCCTGTCAGATGGTGAGAGTCTTCTGATTCGGAAATGTGGTTCCACCATTTTTGGTTCCATCCCTGTAATCAAGGTCAGGATTTTCTTTCTGACTGCTCTTGGATATCCAGTGTTCGGCACAAGGCATGGTTTGTGCTATAAAATATGCATTTTGTTCCTGTGAATCCAGTCTGGCTATTAAGTGCATAAATATGGAGAAGTTGCCTAGAATGTCATGTATGATACTAGTGTTTTTAAAAATTTGGAACCACATATTTGAATGGGTTTTGAAATCTTTTAATTTTTTCTAGTTCCTAGTGCTCCACCACAGAACCTAACCCTAGAAGTGCAAAACTCCAAGGTAAGATGCTGTCAGTTTATTTCTGAAGATGCAGTTCAGCAGCAGCAGAACCTAATCCATTGGGAGCTTAGCACTATATCCAGCCATTTTTCAAAGTGACTCTTCCTCATCTGACAACTGTGCATTCTGCTTTTATCCTTCAGGGGTGCCTGATTGTATTTGCTCAGATCTTGAGTCTGTCAGGAGTTAGAAATCCTCCTTTCCACGTAGGTCAGCTGGCTTCTTTAGCTGCCTGGAATTTGTATGTGTTTGACACAATTTAAGGTTTCTGTGCTTAAACTTAGAGCAGGTGTTGGCTGGTATCATCTGTTCTAGCCAACCCACTGGATAAAGCCATCCTTTGCTTCAGAATCATTGGAGATAAGTAGTGTTAATGTTTCAGAGTATAATACGTGGATTCTTTAGTATAGAAGAGGAATAAAATGTAGATTGTATACAAAACTGTGTTTGAAGAATTTCCATAGTCTACCATGTAATTCCTCAGACGTGCGGGAATGAAAATAAACCACTCTTCTCAGCAGTTTGATCGGCCGAGCCTCTTCCAGACAGATCATTTTAATGCCTAAAATGTTATGTACATTTGTACACCGTATTGCAGATTACATATAAATTGTTTCTTGGGCCAGATTGATGGAGCGTGCGAGTTAGCGTGGTTTAACGCGATGAGCGGGATTTTTGATGCCCGTTAACTTCCCACAGAGCATTGCGATGCACTGGCAGCCGCCCCCGGCAGGGACGCACAACGGGAAAATCACGGGCTATAAGATCCGCTACCGGAAAGTGACGCGCAAGAGCGACGTGGCGGAGAGCATCGTGGGGACGCAGCTCTCCCAGCTAATCGAAGGCGAGTGGGTTGGTGCTCCGATGCCCCCGAGTCGCGGCCAGGCCATCTGGCACGTGCTCCCTGTGTCCGGGGTGAAGGAGGGGAGACGCTTCTAAGGAGCACTGAAGCGTGATTTGCTCAGCCTGGCGTGTTTTGAGTACGTTCTGTGTCGGGCAGTGTAAAAAATGCTGCAGGGTCATTTAAATATTTTATTAAGAAAACACATTTTAAAATCTCAAAAGAATAATAAAGATAAATTTTGCAAACAGCAGTACAAACTGTAGGAAGTGGCAGAGATTAAACATTGCCAGCGTACCTTTATCAGAGTATGATCTTGTAGCTCTAAATCGGGGCAGGGGTCTATTTTCCACGGGGGTGGGCACATCCCCTCCTGCCCAGCCTTCCAGGGGTGGCGTGCCGAGTTGGTGAGGCCAAGTTGGAAAGCCCCAGACAAAGGGAGCTGCTTCACCGGGGACCTTTCCTGAAGGCGCGGCACGTACCTTCAGGGACTGGCTCCCGGTGGAGCTGGGCGCTCTGGCGTGATGGACCCTGGGTTCCCCTTGAGCCATTGGAGGAGGCTTTGCAGGCCGGGTGTGGGTGGGGGGTCCCCACGGCCACTTCAAATAAACTATGCCAACACTGAGGCCTAAACATCATCACCGCTTCCGCTGTGCAGCTGCTCTTCCAACAGCCGCGGTTCCTCCTGCAGCTCCTGTTCTTGCTCTGGCTCTCCAAACAGATCAGGGAGGTCTAGCCGTCATCAATGGCATGGCTGTTGTTCTTCCTGGACTTGCTCAGAAGCTGATTCCCTTCATTATGTTCTCTGCTGTTCATAATTCATGGGGGCGGGGGAGATTTCACTTGCCCTCATTGTTCGGCAGAGCTTTGGTCCGCCCTTGGCCATATCTCCTTTGCTCACTGGGGGTCTTGGCCACCTTCTCGTTTCCGCATTTATTACTTTTTAACCGATTGTTTAGTCATCCCGGGGAGCGGCTCGTTCCGGTCCCTCAGGAAATGACTCTTCTGCCTTGCCTTCCTGGTCCCAGAGGAAGGGCCCAACCCATTTAGGAGTGCCCTCTTACGGGCAGGAAGAATGGAAGTTCACCTGTTCTGAATGCCATGTTCATGTATGTGGAGATGAACGGTCCTTAATCAAGAGGGATTAGTCAAATTTTAAGGTCTTTGATGAGGTTTTGTTTTAAGAGCGATGTAAAAGATTCCTGTTCTGCAGACAAAAGGGTTAATGGATTATCTGACGAGCAATGTTTTCTGTTTGTAACAAACAAGTTACTCTCAGGCTCTTTTGCAGTTGACTTTGTCATTGCCGTGCCAGTAATCTGTGCCACTTGAATGTGTTGAGGTCTCGCTGCAGGGATGGTTGATGGCCTTGGGCCACGCTCCGGTAGCCACCTGAGGCAAAAGGCCAAAGCCTGTGGCATCCAGCGAGCTCCCTCTGTGTCAGACCTGATCCAAATTATATTCCAGAAATAATAACCGTATGGCAATTCATTTAGATACTCATTTAGTTCTGTATTACCAAGCTGTGACATATCAGAATGTTAGAATTGTTGATGTTTTAATCAGAGGCAGCGACTTCACAGCCACTGCTGGAAACGATGTTTAACGTGTGCATTATGTATCAGGGCTGGAACGAGGCACAGAATACAGCTTCCGGGTGGCTGCCTTAACCGTCAACGGCACAGGGTTGTCTACGGACTGGATATCAGCAGAAACGTTTGAAAGTGACCTGGATGGTATGGATACAGCAATGCACTCCGAATGTGGAAGTACCTGTATGGAAAGCACACGGGCCTAGGAGAAAACATTTGGTGCTGTGTGGTCGGTCGGTTGGTCGGTTTTGGCATCCCTTCCGTCTTTGCATGAGGCACCTGCTTGGGTGATGGAATTGAGGGCACATGCCTCTGTTCTTGGGGAAAACAAGGCTGGGACGCCGCCCAGCCCAGCCACGCTCCTTTATCTAGTTGCAGCGGCTGATGGAGAGGACCATCCCGCTGGAGAGAACGTAAGATACACGTGGCTCTGCATCTGGATGCCCGTGTGGCTCGTGCCACCACATTACTTCTGGTGCAGCCGCTGGAGCTGGATCAGGGCAAGGCCGTAGGGCATCCCAGCAGCGAAGAACGGAAGGGCGGCCGCGAGGCACCAGGGTGGGCGCGCTGCAGCTGCCGCCTTGGCAAAGGGGCTGCGTTCCCCCTGCCCCAGAGGGCCTTGCTTCCCTCAGGGGCAACCTGGGGACGCCTGCTCTAATTGTTACAGCCCCCTGATGGCACCGCAGGCGCTACAGGGTCCACGTGCTGAAACAGCAGCTTGCTGGTGTTGCTCATAGTGTGGAAAAATGCAAAAGGTAGTGGAGTCTCTCCCCTTCCAGAGCTCAGTTTTTGCCGTGAGAACAGTAGCGGACAGAGCTTCGCACCGCGGTGCCATCGGCCGTTGGAAGGGGTGGTCTTCACCCTTAGGCATCGCGGTGGCTCTGTAAGCCCAGGAGCTCAGCGTTCTCCCTCGGCAAGCTAGTACACCCTCCAGATGGAACACATCCTCGCTCACGTGGGTGAGTGATCCTTTCTCTTTTTTATAGAATCCCGGGTTCCAGAAGTTCCAAGCTCCCTGCACGTGCGTCCCCTTGTCACAAGTATAGTTGTGAGCTGGACCCCTCCGGAGAACCAGAACATTGTGGTCAGAGGCTATGCCATTGGCTATGGCGTTGGGAGCCCCCATGCCCAGACCATCAAAGTGGATTACAAGCAGCGATACTACACTATTGAGAACTTGGGTAAGGAACGCACCTAATGGCAGCATTTGAGTTTGCCAACTAACTAAAAGCAGCATTGACCTGGGTATGCCGGGGGTCAGACTAGATGGCCCAAGAGGCCCCTTCTGACTCGCTCTGTTTCTATGTTAAAAGCACCGCCTTTCTATTATTTCATTTAGGGCTCACCTGTAAATTAAATGTGTCTACTTCCATCATCCACTTGAATGACTTTGTAGTTTCCAAAACAATATGAAAGCAAGATCCATGTTACAGAGAATGTTTTCATTCTATATAAGCTCGGAAATTCCAAATTAATACAAACAGTTAATAAAAATCAACAGCTGCAGTAGCATTAGTAAAGTTCAGTGAGTTATGAGCCTTGCTCTTTAAAAAAAATCTGTAAATATAAATATTTCTTTAGCCCAAGGGAGAGAGAAGCTATCCCTTCTAGTGTACTCTGAGGAAACAAAGAATGCTTTGGTTTCACTCTCGGATCACTTTCTGTGTCCAAGCATGTCTGAAACTCTTTTACCAAAAAAGGTTCAATAGGAGAAGTAGTAATAAATAGGCTTCTGTAATAAAAAAATGTGCTTTTCCCCTCTTTTTCTTTAGATCCCAGCTCTCATTATGTCATAACTTTGAAAGCATACAACAACGTTGGGGAAGGGATCCCCCTGTACGAGAGCGCTGTTACCCGGGCCTACACAGGTAAAGATGAAGCCTGCCCCGTTTGTTTGCACCCTGAGGTTCAAGCCGATCGCAGCGTATCGTGGTTTGCAGATGGCTTCTTTATATAAATAATTTGTTGGATCATATTTTAAATGGAGCATTCCAATCTAGTGGACGTTAGGGCCTAGCATGAATTTACCTCACAACTGATACTGCCACACGCTCATAAGTAAATATTGGCCATGGCATATATTCTATGCAAATATTTGTTTTACATTAAACTGTGGCCACTTTTATGCAGACATTCCCAATAAGCTGCATTTGTTCAACTGTGAGCACATTTGCACTCGTGCCTTTTGAACATCTCTATTCGTATTTGGTATGTGCCTCCAAGATCCGAGCACTCCTGACTTTGATGTGTTATGTGGGCTTTTTCCTTAATACTGTTATTAACGGTCCGTGTTAGATGCTAATTCTACCTTGTTTATCCAAAGCCACTTTGGAGCTGGGATAAATTAATGTTGTGATGCACCTAATACCGAAGATCTTAATTTGAAATGTGCATTCACAATTTTGATCCGGTGATTTCGTGACTTTTGCAACAGGCTGCTTAAATGTTTTAATCTCTGCTTATGGTATGACTCTTAAGAAGGAATCAAAAGCATCGCTGGACTTTTGTGCTGGTCTAATGTTGCCTATTAATTCTGGCTTTTCTCTCTTTTTCTCCATTCTCACCTTCCATCTCATCGTATTACCCGGCATTTCACCCTTTTGTTTCTCTTCACATATAATGCCACCTTCTTTCTTTTTTATTGTAATACCCTACTTTTACCCATCAATCTCTTAGACACTTCTGAGGTTGATTTATTTGTTGTTAATGCTCCGTACACTCCAGTGCCAGATCCCTCCCCTATGATGCCACCGGTGGGAGTTCAGGCTTCCATACTGAGCCATGACACCATACGAATTACCTGGGCAGACAACTCTCTGCCGAAGAACCAGAAGGTCTCCGATGCACGCTACTACACGGTCCGCTGGAAAACCAACATCCCGGCAAACACAAAGTACAAGGTAATAAAAGCTGCCGAGAGGAGCGCCTAAGGCATTTTGCCAACCCAAATTTACGGCCAGCAAAAATCTCCGAACATAGGTCTTGGTGATTTTATCCGACCAAAGAGAAAGAGCGCATGTGCACTTGGGCAAAATAGCTTTGGAAACTTAGCTCTAGCTGAATGTAGTTCATGCGGAGCACAAATGAAGATGGAACAAGTTGATACGCCGGATGGGTAGTCAGCATCTGCAGTGCGGAACTTCTCATTTTGTGACCTTTGATTCTTCCAGACGGCAAATACAACCACCTTAAGCTTCCTAGTGAGTGGCTTAAAACCAAACACTTTGTACGAGTTCTCTGTGATGGTGACCAAAGGGCGGAGATCGAGTACCTGGAGTATGACGGCACATGGAACTACCTTTGAGCTAGGTATTGTCACGGAGTCCCTCGGAAACAAGTTCGCTTCGTACTGGTTGCTTGTCCTGGATTTTTTTTTCAGCATGTGAAAGAATTTGTAAATTCTTTGAACAAAAGAGATGGCCTCTGCAAATAATTAGATTTACTATGCAACAGATGTTTAAAAAACTAAAAAAAATGTTTCACACTCACATTATATCTTAATAGCTGCCAAGAAATAACTTAGCAGTTAATAATTAATTGGGAGACTATTTAATTATTTAACGAGTAAGATCAGACAAGCTGTGATCTGATCCTTGAAGCAATAACAGCTACAAATTCCTTTCATTTTAATGTGATTTGCTGGACGAGAGAGACTTAATGATCAGGCAATTTCAGCCATCAAAAGACCTAAATTTGTGGATAAGCTTTTCCTGATCTATCTCCTTAGTTCCTTGTTTTTCATTTTTACCTTTTTACATTACGGGAAAACAAGCTTAATGTTAATTAGGGAAAATATGAATGAATGCCCCAAATGTTAAAAAATCTTTAAAGTACACACAGTAAGAGCCTAGCTGCACAGTGGAGAGAAACCTTGTGGAATTAATACAATTTTAATTGTACTGAGCAATTTTTGTTCCCAGTTCCACAGAAAAGCAAGTTATTTGAAATTTTACAAAATTTAGTGTTCCATCTTTGTCTATCCAGTCTGCCATGTAAGATGACGTTCAAGCCTAGAGCATCAGTTCATGTTGTATCCAAATGATAGAACTCCTATCATTTGAAATCTATGAAGGCTGTTTAAATTTGAGTAGGGGCTAGCGATTTTCACTTCTTTGACTTCCAGTTGCTTCTATTCTTACTCAGTTAATCAATTTAAAGCCCATTCTTAAGTTATGTCGATCCCAATCGCCCAAAGAACTAAACACCATGTTTCTAGGTTGTACAAAAGCAGGTAGAAATGACAATGAAAAGCTTTTGTGCCTGATACCCTACCGTTAAACAAAAACACAATATCCATGCATTCAAAGTGATGGATAAGGTTACTGTTGAATATGATGCTCTGGACCTTGTCAGAGCTACAGATGCTGGGTTAGGATTCCCTGTGGAAGAGACAAGAGTATTTAGTGACACACGAACATGAGGAAAAAAACTGCTCCAAAGAGACTGAAAACCTTAAAATTTTGAGTGTTCACAATGCTACTTCAGCAGAAAATATTTAATTATTCTGGCAATTTTATAGCTGAAAAATTTCTCTGGTAAAGAACAATTACTAATAAAGGTAATATAATTTAATGTGAGTTTAATTTACATATTTTCTTGCAGTTCCAACTTCTCCTCCAAAGGACGTAACAGTGGTGAGCAAAGAAGGAAAGCCCCGAACCATCATAGTCAACTGGCAGCCTCCGTCTGAAGCCAATGGCAAAATTACAGGTGAAGCGTCTTCTGGGTATCTTAGCAGACTTACAGTGCTGTTCAGATTAGGGTTAAGGTTATGTAAGGAAATTATTAAAAAGTTGGAGAGCACTAGTAGAAGAATTCTATTCATTTTGTTGTCTTTTGGTCTTTTAAAAAAAGTTGGATTGTGTTACCTTTGTGCCAGGTCCACTTTTTTCAGTTGAAATAATTGCTGCTTGAATGTTTATCTCTTTTTTAACATTACCGTTATATGATAAATAAAAGCATAAACGGTTGGATGAGGTTTTAATTCCGTAGAATCAAATGTTTGCTAAGAGTCCTTACAAACTTTAAAGTAAGACACGCTGGGCACAACTGTTGCCGTCCACACTGGATGCACAGTGTGAGACAGTGGTGACCCTACACCTTACGCCCTGCAGTTGGCCAGGATGGTCAGTTTCGGCCACAGGACCCCGGAGCTGGGACTCCAGGTAATCCTGTGATACCTTGCAGAGAATAATGGGAATCCATAGGATTGTGCCATTACATCAACACAGGTGTAAGATGGTAATACCGGCAAGTAACTATCAGCTTCTTGAAGACAAGTTTCCACTCTGCCGACTTCACTCTTTTCTTCACCTTTGTGCTTCAGTTGAGATTGGAATTCATGTTGTGTCCCAACTTCCCCAAGTGCCCTTTGGATGTTTTGTACTACAATTCCCAGAATTCTTGGCCATTAGCTATTCTGTCTGGACAAAGAAGGGCTAGGCGACCAATGCCTGAAAGAAGGTGAATCGTGGGCGATCCAGGCCAGACTGCAGGAAGCAGTTTACACAGGGCTTAGTTAAAGTGGAATTCACTCCCGCACGCTATGTGGGTGCGTCGGACTGAGATGGCGTTGAAAGAAGTGTGGGCAAATGAGCGAATATCAGTAGCCGTTGGTCATGATGGTTTTATGGAACCTCCACGCTCAGAGGCCGCATGCCAGCAGATACGATTCAGCGGAGGGCTTCTTTCTTACGATTTGTTTGAAATGCTTAGATTCCAAATTCCAAATCCTTTTGAAATGTCCCGAAGTCACTCTGCAGAAACACATGCTTAGGCTCTCCATGAATATCAGTCATTTTCTTCTGTACAAAACTGATTGAGAGCAGCTACTGGGATTTGCGTTAATGGCGGAGCAGTCTTTGTGATTTCCACAGTCCATGCCCTGTTATTGGTAGGTTTACCTATGATGGGTGACACTTACCAATTTAATAAGCATTTTGGTTGCATGCACCATTTCAGTCTGGGTATTCTAAGATCCATTCTTTGACAATATACTCTGTATTTATTACTGATACCAGATGGATAGCAGATGACTCCTGAGTTTGTAAAAAGAGTCTGGCATGTTGATTGTACCCTTTCAAGTGCCAGCCCTTAATAGGTTCAGGAAGTGGGGGGCACAGTCATTTCTGGTGGCAGGAGGGCTGGGCAGGATTGCACCCGCCGCAAATCATGTGTGTACTTGTGTGTGTGTGTGTCTGTGTACACTGCAGAGGTAGCTTAAGGGTACGCATAGTTCATAGGCCAGGGTGGTTGAAGTCTGTCTGTGGAGAGAGGTGGCCCCCTTCCCAGCTCCTGCACATGCAAACACCAGGCGAACAGCCCCCACCCCCGCCGTTGGCACGAGCCACTGCCCACCTGCCAGATCTCTCCGAAGAACCTTGAACTGGGCGATGCCGGACGAGCGGCGTGAGAGGGCTGCCCTCTGGTGGAGTATCTCCTAAAAGCCTGAAATCTGAAAGTTGCGCAGGGCCTTTTGGAACAAGAGGATGCTAAGGCATCACCATGTTATACACGAGCCCATGCCATTTCCCTCGCTTTATCCAGGGGGTCCTGCCCCTGCTGCTTGATAACTGTTCGCCGAGATGTGAAATCGAATCAGATCAGCCTCCAGGATAAGAACTTCCCCCTCGCACATCGTTCTGCACCCCCAGCGCGGAGCTCCGCGTTGAGTTCTGTAGAAGGCGCTCTTGTCGGACTTGAAAAAAATATTCCCACCTTGAACTAACCATGTGAGATAGCCATGATTCTGAGTATGTTGCGTCTTCGTAGTTTTCCTGCGGTTTGTTCCCTTCAGGGGAAAGGTGTGATGAGCAGACGCAATAGCCAAGGGCATAGATGGTGGTATGAAATTACGCATTGTGGCATCTCTCCCTTCATATTTACTTGTGGCTGTCTGCTTTGATAAAAAGCAGCAGGACATTTTGTGTTCTTCCTTTTGCTTCCAAGCAATTCATTTTTGCTCTTTAAGAATGGCAGGTCTCAAGCTGGTATTTGATAGTTGTAATCGTTTTTGTAAAGAATATCCAACGTGACTCAACTCAAGAGCTTTCTCACAGGAGGAAAGGGCCAATGTACATGTTATTTTGGTACACTGAAAAAGCAGTTGGCTCCAGAATATACTTTCTGCAACTTCAGCAATACATGAGCCCCACATTTTTCCACAAAGTGATACTTAAAGTGGTTCACAGAATATACAATATAAATACGGAAGCCATAGCTATAAAGTAGCCATATAGAACATCAGGAAGTCAACCATTCTGGTTCATTTAAAGCGAACAAAGTTTAGATGTACTGAAAACATATCGGTTGATAATATCCAGTACCTATAATATTAGCATTATACCAAATCAAACATTTGTTCAGCAATTCCTATGAAGAGACAATGTCAACACACCACAGAATCTAAGCACTGAATATCTGTGGGATGCAGCCTCCTGAATAAGAACTAGAACTCGCATAAAGTAGGAGCCAAGAATGGGCCGGGGGCATAATCAGCTGTCTAGCAGGTCCTTAGCCACTAATTGAGGAAATAACCTGATTTCCCGTCTTTAGTAGCTGTAATGAAGTGCTCAATTGCTTGGGTGTCTCCACTGATACAGAGCTGCAAGGAAACATGAACATGGTTTCCTCCGTCTAGTTGTCAGTCCTTCTGCTTCACGTTCTCAACCCTTCAGAGCCCTTGGGAATGCACCTTCGCAACCAAACGCTTGCTTGTTCTTCTGTGCCTCTCTGTGCAGGGTACATCATTTACTACAGCACAGACGTCAATGCGGAAATACACGACTGGGTCATTGAGCCAGTGGTGGGAAACCGGCTGACGCACCAGATACAAGAGCTCACTCTCGACACCGCCTATTATTTCAAGATCCAGGCCCGCAACTCCAAAGGCATGGGCCCCATGTCCGAGGCCGTGCAGTTCAGAACGCCCAAAGGTAGGCTGCCTCCACGCATCGGCGTGTTTTCTGATTAAAAGCCTACGAGGTGCGCCTTGGGTGCATTATTAATTTGGCCCGCTGCTGGAAAAGATGAGGAGAGCGCGGCATTTTGCCGTAAGCTTGTGCTCTCGCTGCATTTTTATGACTATCCTGCTTGTGAGGGCAAGTCATTTCATTTTGCTTGTGGCCCGCGAAAGGAGCAGTTAGGGTTATGAAACTGTATCTACCAAAACGAAGACACCGGGAAGCAATTTTAAGAACATTTGTGTCGACGGGACGTGTCCGTGGTTCATGCACCAAGGGCTGTGCGAACTCGTAAATGTTTATGTTCGCGTGTTCGTTAGTAGTGTCCTGTGAGTGACGATATAGTATGCAGTTCACTGTGTGTTCCCTTCCTTAGAACACACGCTTGAGACTCATGTAGTCCAGACGAGCGTGCGGTGAGCGTGCGCATGATAATCGATGAGTACCTGGGAGATGGTGCAAAGCATTTGCCTGAGTATTTGCAATATTCCTAAACATGCATGAGTAATTTTCTTACGGGATCTAAGTGTTCTGTTCTGTAATGTGTGGACAAGAACCAAAAAGTGGAAAACAGCCTGCCAGGTAAGTGCTTAGTTCTGTGGTGGCAGCATTAATTTTCCATGCCAAGAGAGTAGTACTTCTGTGCCAGTGAATTTTGGTCATTCCCTCAGATTTGATGATCTTTTTCTTGTTTCTTCCCCTGTGCTTGCCCCGGTAGCTGAATCTTCAGATAAAATGTCTAATGACCAAGGTAAACCAGCAGACCTGCTTTCTTTGTCATTTCTTCTCTTGCAAGGAGTAGAGTGGTCTTGTTGGCAGCATTTCTACTGTTAAATGCCAAGTAAAAAGCTCTTCTGAAAAGGGCTCTCTCTCTCTCTCTCTCTCTCTCTCTCTCTCTCTCTCTCTCTCTCTCTGTG